AACTGTTGGCGTTGGCGGCTTTTCCACGTTGCCACCTTGTTTGCAAGTTTAAAAGCTGCCCTTTTCGAGCAGCTTAAGCAACATACTCAGCTGTAAATGTACCCGCGCGTGTTTGCCTGTGTGTGTGTGTGTGTGTGTGTAGTGCTGTGTGTGCCTTTCCGGTTTTGCGCTTTGCCGGCGACGACGTCGCCATCAACAGGGGAGTTCACTGGCAAACTTAAAATGCAAAAATAAATGCCACGCATGGACCAAACGCACACATCACAACACACACGCAAAGCTTACTTGTGCACCAGTTTTTCACTACCTGATGCCCCTTTTTACCTTTACACGTTGCTCGCTTTTGAGCTCAAGCTTATATTACGCTTGGCCTGTTAACCGCAACTGCAATAGCTGCCATGTGTGTGAGTGTGTGTGTGTGTGTGTGCCAGGCTACCTGCTAAGCACTGCTGATTGAATTCTTTTGTGTTGTGATTTTGTAGCACTTTGGTTCCTGCCCCGTCCCTTGGCCAACATTTGAAGTAGCAAATTTTTACACGCTACACTCCAGATGTGTGGCTGTGTGTGTGAGTGTGTGTGTTTGTATGCCACGTGATGCTGCAGGTGTGAAATGCGCACATAAAATTTGCACCTGTGTGTGCTGCTCTGTTGTTGTCGTTGTATTTCTTGTTGCTTTTTTTCGTAAGCTTTCACTTTCGCCCAAGTTGGCAACAAAAAATGAAAAAAAAGGCGAATGCAAAGCACCAGCTGCAAAAATGTCGTGCGGCGCATAAAATTCACTTGAGCGCGAACGAGGCGAGGCAAGTGTTTGCCCAAGACATAAAACATTTTCGCAGTGAGTGAAATTAAATGCCAGCATGACACTGAAATGCAACAAACCACCCGAAGCATCATGCACCACATGCTCCAGCTCAGCCAAGCCACGCCCACTTTATGCTCACCTGGTAGGCACGTGGGCAGGTGGGCAGCTGGCAAGACAAAAGCCATTAAAATGCGCTTACGTCGCGTTTCGGTCGTCGGAAGTGTGGCCCATATACGCGTTTGCAGTAGATACAGCGGCCGACGGTATCTGAGAATCTGTTCTAAAATATGATTTTGACCGAAATTCGGGAATTACTGCGGTTAATGTGTCTAACAGGCAGCCAAAGAAATATTAACTATGCAGTGAACACAAAAGTTTGAATTTTAATGCAATTAGAAATCAGTTTGGGCTCATTCAGTTCTGTCAGCTGAATTTCAAATGCTTGTAATCAGATGTATTAATATTTAGATTAAAACTGATTCCATTTATGCAGCACGAAACTTTTTCCTCAGACAATGGATCGGGTTCGCCAAACACTTTAGCCTGTAAATCGCCAACATTAAGAGATTTGCTTAAAATTCAAATGCCCTGACCAATTAGTTAGCATGTATCTTAAACTAGAGAGCTTCCGGTTGTGGCACATGCAAATTGCTGATACATCAATATGTATGTGTGTTAAAGCTCGTTCGCCTCAGTTTCGTCAATTGCTTTTGTGCACCATAAAGATACATATCAAGACTATTTCGCCTGGTATTCGCCTAGGCTCACTTTGTTGCCAGTAAAAAATAACGTTATCGTTATGCTGACAATTGGTTTTTGAGAGTGTGCTCAAGAGGAAGTGAAGGCAGAAATAGGTAAAGATAAAGCAGAAGAACAAGCAGCTGTTAGCTGCACCGATTTGCAGTGCGTAATTAAAAATGCAGGCCAAGCACGCCGAGCATTGCATACTTTGGGGCGTCGTTTAACTTTGCACTTAAGCAGAAGAAGAAGCTCAAGCTAAAAACGTAAATATCATTTGCATTTTTAAGTGCGTTTGGAATCGGGCTGCCGAGCTGTTGGCTGTTAGCTGCTGGCTGCTAGCTGACTTTAGTGCTGTATCGTCTTTAAGCTGTTCGAGCCAACTTGAGGCCATAAACTGGCCCCTGGGCTGTATAGACCGCAGCAAATCAACGCCAGCACCGCAGCAGCGGACGCCTCTTAAGGCCATAAAATCAGCTAAAAGCAGCCACAAAACACGAAGCGGCAAGTGCCACGAGCAGAGCCACAGTCAAAGCCACGACCCACTGCGAGCGCCAGCAACTTGAAGTGGGCACGGAATTTATTTCAATAAAATGTGCATTAGCAGACCAAAAGGCAGCAACAAATAACTTGAGGCTTTTAGTGCGCACAAAAGTATGCAACGGCAAATGCAAAACAAAACAAAACGAGACGAAACGAAACGAAATGGAATCGAAACGCTGCACAAACAACAACAACAACACGAAAGTACAGCTGCGTCGCATAGTAAAGTCACATATTAATATGAAAAGTCACTTCGTCCTCGTCGTCGTCGTCAACTTGCAGATTTGCTAATACCCCAAAGTATGAAACATTTTACCCATGAGTAACTCTATTTGAAATCCATTACTGCCAACGAGTCCGCAACAATAAAACTGAAAAGTTTCAAATTTATGTCAAAAAAAAAAAAATAAAAAAATAGAAATAAATAGAACAAGAAGAAGATGAAGCTGTAGAAAAAGAATAAGAGTGTGCGCCAGCCAAAAGAAGCAGCAGCAGCAGCAGCCGCAACAACAAAACTGAAACACTGAAAAGAAGCCAACATTGAGCAAGTCAAAACTAGGTTAGGGCATGAGTGGGCGGGCCAGGAAATGTGTGAAGCGGAGAGGGGGGAGGGGGATCAAACTTGAACAATAGCAAAATGCGTGGCGGGCAATGGCAGAGCGCAGACACTGGGGACAGCCCCATGTGGGGTATAAAAAGAAATGTGTGTACGCCAACAGGCAACAGGAAAAAACATTCTAAACGTTTTTGATGGAAAACTTTGGGGAGCTTTTTGGCTCGCCAAACTCCTTGAAGCTACAGGCCACTCAAATTATGGAAAAAATTTTGTGGCTGCCAAAAAAAAAAAGAAGAAAAAATATGAAATGAAATGAAGGAAACGAATGCAGCAAGAAGAAAATATGCTGGCTGGCTGCCACTTGAAGTCAATAATTTGTGCCGCGTTTTTACAGCAATTCAATTAAAGCCACACACACACAGACACACACACAGATAGAGAAGCAGAGGGCGCACAAATACAACAAAAAAAGCAGACAAAAGATGCAATTGAGTTGGTGAAGGGTTGGCCAAGAGTCCATTGCATGGCCGGAAGTGGTTGCAGCAACTTTTGCCGAGTGCCATTTGGCACACAAAAGATGGATGACGCTGAATGAGACAGACAAAGAGTAAGACAGAGAGAGAAAGAGAGAGAGAGAGAGCGAGAGAGAGCGAGAGAGAGAGAGCACTCAAGTCTTTTGGGTTCTGCGGAATATGTGGCAACGCCGCCGCCGTCAGTCGGAAGTTGATAATCAATGGATTGCTTTAAGCTACACCTTTTCCAACCAGAAACGGGCTAGACTGCAACCCGACTGACTAACTGGCTGGTTGCAAAGGCAACTGCTAATGAGCTTACGCATGCTTATGGCTAACTGGCACTTAAATATTCGTATAATCTGGCAAAAGAGTTGAACGCTAAAAGCCTTATGCATAAAACAATAGGAATAGCATAGTAGCTTAAAGCTTAAATTGTATTTAAAATCCGGCCAACAGCTTTTATGTGCTTTTCAAGCTGCTTAGATGCTCCGTGCGAGAAATACGCACGCAGCTAAAAGCCTTTGCCTTGAAAGATTGTTGTGAATACCAAGGCTGCAAGTCCAAAAACCATTTTCGGGTCAATGCCTTAAGGTTCAGCCCACAAGCCTGCTTATCGTATTAATGAATCCAGGTGTGTGTCTGAAACTTGCTTCACTACAGTTTTAAACATCTTCAACTCAATTTTTGATAAGCATAAGATATTTAATCAGTTCATTTTTCATATCTGGAGTGCTGAAACTATTGTTAGCAAAATATTAAACAGGCAAAAATGTTGCGGTTACTTTTAAATATAACAAAATGAAACCAACCCATAAAATTTGGTTCAGTTCAAGCTTAGCCAACTTAGCCAACTTAGCTAGTTGAGGGTTCGATTCATATATTTTGAAATTTAGCTTCCAAGTGCCGTTAGCCTTCGAACTGGCCACTTATTAGGGGTTAGCCCAGGTAGCCTTGGCAACTGTCGGTTTCTCTTCATCTGCTTGGTTCTTTTCTTCGTGATTATTTGCATTATGTTTTCTGTTTGGCTACCATTTTAAATGCCTTTTGTTGGTGTATTTGGTTTAGTTGACATAAATCTTGCTCACTTTACAACAGACCCCACCCTGCCGCCCGCCTACGCCACGCCCTTAAATGGCGTTCTCGTTGACATTTTATTTAACATGCATATTTTTATTTCATTTTGCCAGAGCGACTGTCAGCGCTGTGCAGAGAGATTTGAGACAGTCCGACAGTCAGACGGACAGACAGACAGGAGCGACATTCAGCCAGCGATTTTTGCATTTGGCGCTCTTAAAAAGCTTATACAAATTACAAGGGAAACGGGCGGGCTGGCAAGCTGACGGGCTGCTTGGCATATTTTTTTTTAGGGGCGTGTCAGCTTGGAGAAAGCAAGAAAACTTGGAAATTAGATTTTTTAATATTTTATGCAGTCATCACAGCATTTTGTGGCCTTAAAACGCAGACATACACAATATAAAATTCATGCAAAAATTTCTATATATAAGCATCTCGTATAAATGTGTGCGTATATAAATTGTATATACGATATACAAATATTTCTTTGAGCATTTTCATTTGCATATTGGAGCATGTTTAAATGCTTTGCGCTTTTCTAATTTCATGTCAAGTTGACAATTTGGGCAGTCAAATGCATGAAATGGATATGTGACAGCAATTTCTGGAAGGGCAGAGGATGGTTTTCTACGCCTGCCAGACATACCATAAATATAAATGTCGTATGTCTTGCGTGAATGCCTAACTTACTGCTATATTCGAGAGTTTAGCTTAAATTTGACGCATAAATTCAAATAAAAATTGCAGAAATTTGTATTTATGGTCTAGCGATGATCGTTTGTTGTTTTATTTCACAAAAAGACACAAACCTTTCCTTTTGCTTTTACTATTGGTTTCTCCTTTGCAGCTGCTCTGGTAAAGTCATGTTAAGTCGTGTTTATTTCTCAAACAGACACGAGCTACAAATTGTAGCATGCTACAAAGACATGCATTTTCTTTCAGTACACAAAATTTTGTGTTATTGAAAAAAAAAATATAAAGACTGCCTTCTCTTCTCTGACTGTCTTGGCTAATTCGTTCTGTGTCGTGTTAGGTCGTGTGGATTACATGGCTCGTGTTCAGTCGTACTGTGCTGTAATTATTTCTCAAAACTACATGTTTACACACGCAATAAAATCGTGAAATAAAAAATATATATGCTCGGTAAAGTCGTGCTGAGTCGTGTAAGTTCAGCCGACTCGTGTGCAGTCGTGTTTATTCGTGCTAAGTCGTAAAGAGTCGTGTTGGGGCTTGCGTCTAACAGCTCAGCGTCTAATATTCTTTTCGTCGTCTGCAGCAACATCTTCATCCTCATCTTCATCTTCGACATCTTCCTGCAGATCACCTATCGACTTAGTTTGAGCCAAATCTCTCTTTGGTTCTTCATTTAAATCATTAGGCAAATGGCGTGTTAGCTCATCTTTGAATTCACGTATGGTGATATCAATTGATAGAGTTTGTGATACATCATGACGTTCAGCGTTCGCCCTGTTGAATTCTAACATCTCCTGGCCACCAGCTAATTGGCGAAACCATTTGGACTTGCCGCGGAGCCAATAGTCAACTTTTTTGCCCAGAAAATATATATCTGCCGTTGTTCTGGCCAGGCTATCAAGCTCTTCGTTGGTCATTTTCTTAAACGAATCATCCCTAGCGGGTGGCTCTGTGATAATTTGAATGGGGTGCAAGTCCGCATTGGGCGTCAACTTGACAATGAGATCGAGCAACAGTATGGCTTGCAGTAGATATATAGCTCCAGTAACAATGCATACCACACTCTGCCGCTTGCAGAAGCCGAAGAATACATGATCCAGCTCCTCTTGCGGACCCATATATTTCAAATGAAAATCATTTTCCGCATAGTTCATGGACAGCAAGGCACAGATGAAATGCAAGAGCATGCCGGAAAGGCTTATAAACATAGCCGGATGCAGCAGAGTGCGCTGCCCGCTTATGAGCCGTACCCAACGGATGAACGCAAGGAGCAGGTAGCCGACAAAGGTGCCACAAAAGAGCAGACAGTGTGGCATCGGCTCCGCAAAGTGCAACGAGGCCGCGATGTGAATAGCCATGCAGATCGATTCGAATATCATCTCCAGAGCCCTGAAGAGCAGCCAAACTTGATTCATTTTTGGTGAAGAGAACGATGACAATTGACGGCAAAATCAAAGGCAACAGTTGTTGTTTTGTGGCTGCCTCAGAAAGCAATTCAATTTTGAGACTGTGTCGTGCACGTGAACGCCCCCTAATACAAAATGTGATTAGCAGGACATTGAGGACTTCATAGGCGTTTTCAGATGTGCCATTTAATGCCTGGAAAACTCAATGTCAAGTCGGGTAATTTTCTTTAATGGCTTTTCATTTTGTCGATAGTGACACTTTCAGTTGTTATCACTGGGCCGTAAAAAAAGGCCCAAAGACAATTACAGGCTTACTTGCCTAGAGGAAGCGGGTTCCAGGAGGGCAGAGGGCAGAGGGCGGAGGGGGGGGGGGGGGGGGGACAGCATTGAGTGCTAAACAGGAAATGATTTTCTGTGCTGCTCTAAGAACTCTAAGAACGGAAAATGGGCGCGCCCTACTTGGTAATGAAATCATGAATTAGATTTGAGCTCGAAAATTGTTATTGTTTTCGGCCACATCTCACTCTCTCGCTCTCGCTCTTGCTCTCGCACTCTGTGGCTTAATGACTTTTGTGGCTGGCTTGCATAGTACTTGGTCGGGTCTGAAAGCAGCCACTGTGTGGCGTCTGTCCAGCTGTCTGGCATATTCCCCAAATGTCTATAAATCCCTTTTAAATGTTTTTAAGCTTTTGTTGGACATTTTCAGCAAAATAGCAGTAGCTGACTACAGCAGCAGCAGCAGTAGCAGCTGTAATGTGCGCCTGGTCTGTGCCACACACACACACACACACTCACACTCAACAAAACCAAAAGGGAACAATATTAACGTGTCAACGAGAATTTATGTTTACCGCAACTGGACAACTTTCAAAAGCAGCTCCATAGATCCAACATCCTCGCCGGCTACTGCTCCTGCTGCTGCTGCTGCTGCTGCTGCTGCTACTCCGGCTGCTGCTCTGTGCGGAAGTGGCAGCAAATGCTTTACTGTCTCGCCAGTTAACATTTTTTGCCCCATTGTTGCTGCTGGCCAAGCGTGGCAGGAAAGAAAGCTGCCTGCCCCTTCAGCATTGGCACACATATGCAAATGATCCATAAATATCAACACTTTGCACACACACACACACACACACACACATAAAGCACGCCAGTGAGCGAAAGGGACAGATAGAGAATGAGTGAGTGGGGTTGAGTGTGGCCAACGCCGTTGAGAAAACGGTCAGCTAAAAGTGGCCAGCGATTTACACAGCATTTCTCGCACTATCTATCTCGCTCTATCTGACCCGTGTGTGTGCATGTGTGTGTATGTGTGTGTGTGTGTGTGTGCTTATGGTAATTGTGCTGAAAACTTGAAGCATTTTGCGGACTGAAACTGAGGCAAAGGCCTCAAGAGTGGACGCCATAAATAAATTACATTTGTTGCTCATTAAACGTTGAGTGGCCAAATGGCCGCAATTTAAAGTGTGGGTGGCGTGAACAGGCGGTGGGCGGTGGGCGGTGGGCTGGGACGAGCTGGGCGGTGGTAAGGGCTGGGGACTGCGGACTGGGCTCTACTTGGCTTAAGCGCAAAGGGTTGCAAGTTTGTTAGCCCGCAGCGAGGATTTTAATGTGTGTGTTTATCCATGTGTGTGCGTGTGTGTTTGAAATAGCATTGATTTAAAGCAGAAATTCACTTAAGTCCTGTCAGTCGCTCAAATGTAATTAAGCCTGGGCATGAGTAATGCGACTTAATCATTGGTTAATAATTAAACTTTATTGTTGTTGCAAGTGCGAGTGAACAACAATTGCCACGCATTGATTCTACAATGCATATGCTCACTTATTATTGCACAGTAAATCCTGTACATTTTGAAGTATTCATATAAATTTTTCTCATAGCAAAAGCATTATTTTTTATATAGATACTCTTCTATAAGATATTTCAAAATATATAATGTCCAATAATAAAAAATAAATCCAAAACCTATCTAGAGAACATAACATGCCCCAAACTTGAAAACAATTTATGCAAAAAGATTGAAGTCAAGGAAAAGCATATTTTGTTTTCAATGTGAAATCTGAAAATCGGATTCAACTTGAAATATAATCTAAATTTTTAAATCCCAATAATTGTTATTATTATTTAAAATTGTACTCCTTATGAATGTTAGCAAAAGTTAAGCAAGTTTTGGGCTAAGGTTGAAAAGTTGAGGTTCAAGAATGAAGTTTTTCTGGCAGAAACAAGTTTTTAATGCTTGCAAGAAAAGTTGGTCTAATTATGGCTTAAGAAACTGCAAACTACGCATCGCTAGGCTGCTGAAATCAACACCTCAGCAGACACACACACACACTCACTCCAATACATACGCACACTCCAGCCGTAAATTATGCCAAAAGTCTAGCAAACACAGGAGTAGAGTAGAGTAGAATAGCAAGGCCAGGCTAAGATGTGGCTCATCAGGTGCTGGTATAAGCCGCTGATATAATGCCTTATTATCATTTAATTGAGCAGCCAAGACCTTCAAACAGTAAACTGCTAAACAGTTTACACAATTCTGTAAAAAGGCCACCCCCCTCCGCCAAACCCCTAAAAAGTAGCAACAACAACCCCCAGAAGGAAGAAAGGAGGAAGAAGATGAAGCGAGAGAGTATTTCACGGCTTTATGACAGGCAGGCAATGATTATAAACCGGCATAAATTTAAATTGAGTGTCACTAACTGGGCCCAGAGATGGGCCCTGCGGGCAACTGGGTGGCATTGTAGGCACGCCCACTGCGTAAACAAGCCGCACAATGACCAGAAAATAACCGAAGCAGCAACAAGAGTTGCGACAAGATGTGGCAGAGCGGAGCGCCCGAAAAAACGGAAGCCAAAGCAAACACAATAACAGTAAGTGGAGCCATTTTTGGGGCAGTGGCACCGATAAAGAGACAAGCCCAAAGCCGAGTGGCAAAGTCACAAGCGGGGGTGTGGGCGGTGCCAGGGGCAGGGGCACTGGCTGGGGCCGGTCCGGGCTGACTGGCTGGCAAGCTGGCATGATGCTGGCAGGTCAAGCAGCGTATAAAATTCATAAAATATCCGCACTTAAAAACGCTGCTGGCCAAAAAACTAAAAACTTAAAACTCAACCAAAACGTACCGAAAAATATCTTGATTTTATTTTATTTTTCATAGTTCTTCTTTTATTTATCTAATTTTTTTTTTATATTTTTGGGCAGAGCAAACAATTTGTGCGCTGCCGCAGCTGCTGTTGGTAGCTGCTCCTTGGGCAACGAATTTGTGTGCTGTTGGTGCTTTTGTCAGTTGCACATGCTACCCAGGCCGGACAGTGGGCGTGACCGCACTTACACACACACACATACACACACAGGGACACATACACAGTTCATTATGCTTCATGTATATTTTATGGGCTGCCTCTCGAATGCATTTGACCAAAATGTGACAAAAATGCAGCCATTATCGAGTGTTAATATTTATGAGCTATTTGTTGTTGTTGTTGCTGTTATTGAAGTTATTATTTGTTGCATGTTATTTAAATATTGTTGACATATTGCACTTGGCAACAAAAATATCAATAACAAAGCACCAAGTGCCGCGCCACACCAATCAAAATAACAACAAGAACAACAACAGCAAAAACAAATCAAACAATTGGCAAATAATTTGGTTTCATTTTACATGATGGTCACTCAATTCTCATGCACACACACTACACACATATCCGAGTGTCCAGTGGGGGTATCAATACATACACACACACACACACAAGCACTCAACAACCTGGCAAACAGCTCGGGCTAGCACTTGATATGGGGTTTCTGGGGTAAGCTATCAAAATGCTGTCATTGTTTCAAATGCAAATCATTGGAAACAGGCCACTAAACACGACAGTGCCAAGTGGCAAGTTGGCAGCGGGGCGTGGCTCAACGGGGGGTGTAGGGGCTCCGCTGCGCTTGTTTGATTTATGCCCGTTGTGCATGTGCATTTAAGTGCAAATTGCAGCATTGTTGCAGTTGTTGTTGCTATTGTTGTTGTTGTTGTTGTTGTTGTTGTTGTTGTTGTTGTTGTTGCTGCTGCTGCGCTTCTTGTTTTGGCTGTAGCTTCTGCTCTTGTATTTGTATATTGCATTTTGTAAACATTTAATATTCCAATTATGCTGCACAATTCAATTGACAATTTGCCCAATGCTAATGTCACCACAATGCGCCGAACAACAACCGGAATTGCGTGCGTGTGTGTGCGCAGCGATACAATAATTTGTAGCATACCTTTGGGTGCTGTTCGAAAATCACATGTGTGCGGGGCGAAGTGCAAACTGCTGCAGCTCCCGGCTCCCGGCTGCTGCAAAGGACATTCATCACATAACGGCATTTATGTGCGAAATTCACTTAGCCAACGTCCAATTGCTATTAAACATGCAAATTGAATTCGCTTAATTAAAATGCGTTAATAAAATCCACTACGCTCCACACAGAGCAGACAACAGCTGTGGACTGCATGTTGTCTAAATCTAAATGTTATAGCCTAACAGCTGCCCCTTCTGATTGGCCTCCATTAAAATTATGTTAAGTGGCAGCTGTTATGCCAATTTATGGCAACTTAACATATGTTGTGTGAAATTTATAGCAACTTTACAGCTGTAGCAATAACATTACAGTTATATGTTATTTAAAAGCGCTGCTGAGGTCTTACCCCTGCTTGTGGAACGCATGTTAGACAAACTGTTCCCAGTTAAAGGGGTTGGTTAGCAGCATACGTTAAGGCACTGTTAATTGTTAGCCTGAACAGTTAAAATAAATATTTAATTAATAATAAAACACAAATTAAATAAATTGAAATTAAAAAACAAAAAAAAAAAGAGTAGAAAAGAGTAGAAATTTACGTAATCAAAATAATTAAAAATAAAATGTGAATAATACGAAAAAATGAATACAAAGTTGTGACACGTTTTAAACCAAGAAATAATGAAATTGCCAGCTAATTTAAACTAACAAAGAATGAAAGAAAAGTTAAGATTGCAAATAAGAAAAAATTACCAAAAAATAAGAAGAAGGAAAGATAGCATAT